TACACTTTCTTCTGAAGTCCAGTTGTCTATTACCAAGCAATTTCAGGACCATTTCTCAATTGAAGATATCAAGGATGAAGTAAGTCACACCCACAGAAAGACACTTCCAGCCCATGAAGACAATGATGTGAGCAGCTTCATAAACCTGGGATCATCACCTCAGCAGATCTCAAAATGGGAAGGTATAATCATCCAGCCTGGAAATTATCAATCTCTTTACAGTACTTTGCTTAACAAAAGAAGACATTTGTCTCTCAAATCTACTGGAGAACAAGTGCTAACACAGGAAGATTATGGGAATTAAGGCTACCTGAGTTTTTTCATTTCTGCTAGAAAGAACTCCCAACATAAAATACAAAAAATTTACTCCTTGGGAGATAAACCACAGCCATAGAATGCCTGTTCTGGTAGACAGGGAACACAGCAGGCAAGGAGTCTAAAAAGGTCTCTTCATGATCAACATCAGGGCAAAGAAGAAAATACAAGTTCATTTTCTGGAAGGTCCAATTTGTGCTTGATGTCTTGCAGAAGCATTTAGGATAAGAGGTTTTGTGCTACTTCACCCTTTTGAACATGTTTTTAATATTACATTTGGTCCTGTTCTTAAACTCAATCACATCCACTTTAGGATGCGCTTTAGGCAGTCCAGGCCATATTTGTTTAAGGTGGTAATTACTTATCTAATTCTACTTCTCAGTTTCTCTTAATAATACACCATGTCTCTTCAACCACTTTTAAACCTGTTTAGTGTCTTCATTATGCGTCTGGCGTCCAACAAATACTTTTCAGGCCCAAAATTCAGATTCTTTTTGGTAAACAAAGAGAAATCTCAGGCTAATAATCTGTTTAATCCTAATCCTGTTTTACCTACCTGCATTTAAGTGAAGTGGGAGTTAATCTATCAAGGATTTTGCCTTAACCTGGCTTTATGAGATCTGTGACTTTCTTAAGACACAGCCATTCCACCCTTCATTCTCTATTTCTACCAAAGTGCCTCAGGAGAAAAATCAACGTGTCTGGATTTAGCTGGGTTTGATAATCCAGACCAATGAATTGGTTTTCATCTCACATTTCACTGACACAACACAGACAGTGAAATTTTTTTTTCCCACTCAGGACAGAATAATCCCTTGCAGACATGGCAGATTATTTGGGACATTCATCCCAACGATTACAAAACTGCTGACCACCTTCTTTTCCCTGCCAGAACAATGAGTCACAACAGGACAAATCAGTGCTTCAAGACACCCCTCCAATACCTCAGTGTCTCCCTGGGTTCCAGACACGTAATAAAGCCCTGGCACTTGCTCCTGAGCTTCAATCACCCAAACATCTCAAAACGCATACATCTCTCAGTTTGTATGTACAGGCTGAAAGACTAAGGATACACAACCAGAATTCCAAGGGAAGATAAAAAAATCAAGGTTCAGGAGGTTAGTTAACAGAGAACACAGAAAGATGCCACAGGAATTAAGAGCTACATGTCAAGCAAAACACGAATTAGGAAAGCCACTGAATGGATGCATGTAAAAAAATTCCAATAATATCAGCTGTGTTCCTTCAAAGCAATTTTTATTTTGTATTGTTTTTCAAATCAGTACTTAATATTTATTCTCAGTTTAAGACAAGTTGCCTTTCTGTGACAGCACCCATCTGGGTTTGTCTCGACCTCACAAGTGACATTCATCATCTGTTTGCTTCATTTTGCTCTTTAATGAAAGCCCAGGTCAGGAAAAATCACCAGCAAGCAGAACCTACAGGTCTTCTCTCTATAAAACACAGCATTACAGCCATGGTGATCCAGGAGGGACTCCCAAGGAATCTGTCTGACAACAATGCACAGGGAACAAAGTTTAGGAGAGAAAAAGGCTTACATTCCTTTGAATCTCACGCATCCTGAGTGAAATGAAGTGCCTTCAAGACAAGCTTTTCTTACATTATTCAGACAGAGGGCTCTGTTTGCCCAGATTTTGAGATCAAAACCAGAATTGAGACAGGATTATAATGTTCCATTATGAAATAGATGGATGATTTAATTTATATTACTGTATTTTTATGGATTTCAGGCAGAGAGATCATGTACTGAAATTCTTGATTCTTGTATAGCTTCAGAGCAATTCTGCTCCAGAAAACATCCAATGATTGAATTTAATCAGAAAATCACTCTTCCTGTGCAAAAGGTAAAGACTATGTCAGCAAATGGAAACACAACTACCTTCAGGTGATCCGGGAGAGAAGGGACAGGCTATCATCCAATTCAGAAGTAACACTGAACTTCTAAAATGTTGCTGTTGCAGTTACATGTAAGAGCAACTTCCCATTTCTATCATTACTTCAAGCTTCCCCCTGGCAAGAATACCATATCCTAACCTCCAGTGATTTGTGGAGTTTTTCAAAGGTTTCTAAAGCCAAACAAAATGTCATTGTATTTAATTGCTTTTAGTGGATTTTTCTTCCCTGAAATTGTTCATCTGCTTTTTGAAACAATTAAAACCATGTCTGTAGCATTCTGCAGAACTACTGCAACTTTTCATACCACCAGTGATACAAAACCTTCTGAAAGATGCAGCAGGCATGAATTTCCTGCAGCAGCTGACAACAGAACAGAAAACACAGAAAATGCCAGCAGGCCTTGTGTAAAGACATTCCCCCTTCTCTGCCACTCCTATGGGTTTTCCATCCCTTAGCTTTAACAAAAATATTTCAGAATTATAATCAGCTTATCATCTTCTTTCATTTCTAAACTGCAGATATGACTGAAACCCATTTCCTTTTCCACAATGTTTACCAGGATTGGAATCGGATTTTCCAGCTTGTTTTCGAAAAAAGTTCATAAAATTCTGATTACATCATTAAGATACCTGGAAACAGACCTGTGCCTGACCCCATTAATCAAGAGTCCAATAAAATGAAGAGTCCAAAAAATAAATGAAATGGAGCCCAACATTCTTTGGGAGGGAGGAGAGAAAAACAAGACCTGAAGTATTTTTAGAAAACATGTTAAACAGCATCAGTATAGTTATGATGTCTGCTAATACAGCTTTATTGCTGTTTTTTGGATAACCCTGAGAATTCTGAAGAGTTCTAAATCAATACTTCAATAAGAAAAATACTAAGTAAAACTTAAAAAAAAAAAAATTCAGAGCACGATCATGCTCCAACACTGATCTAAAGCCATTTTGAATTATCTGCCTTTTTTGCAAAGTGTGAACTTATTTGCCTCACACAGGCTACTCACAGTCTTTAAGGAGACCCCAAGCTCTTTGTCTCCCAATCCTCCCACCTGCTGCCTTCTCCATCTATTTGCATTAGATCCACTCACACTTCCACCACTCCTCTCCCACCCACACCCACCACTTGGAAGAAGCTGAATCTGCATCCTTCAGAAAAGGAGGAAAGGATGCAAGCTCAACACTTCAATTAGGTATATGCTTGAAAGAGTATTTGAAAAAACAACTGAGATGCCAGTTCCAGAGAGAGCAAGTTCAAAACCACAAAATTTGCAAAATAAAGCAATTCTTTGTTTCTAAAACTCAGCAAACATTTCCTCTTTTTAAAGAATAGACCTTAAAATGTAAAAAAACCCTTTCTGAAGAAAAGCCACTTATTAATGAGACACTGTATCACATTATAGATCAAACAAGAATCTACAAAACAGAAATTTGAAAACGAGGGTGATGGGTTTTGTTTTAACCTTTTCCATGCAAGGAACGAGCAATCATACAGAGTACCAAGTCACTTGTCATTACTGACTGTGGCTTCTGCAAACAGGCTTTTGAAAAAGCATCGCAAGCATTTCCAAAATAATTGTTTCTATTTAGAAAAAGAGACATTTGGTCATTGAAGGTTATCAACATTCAAGTATTATTCCTGCCTGCTGGAGATGCATCCCCTGTTGGAGTCAGAATGTTCTTCTCAACTAAGGATGCCTCTCTCCGAGCATTCCCAATTGATGAGTTTCTCCACTGACACACTTCAGTACATCTAATATTTCAGCATCCTGAATCCTCATCCAAGGGGCTGAAGAAGGGAAGCATGCTATTAATCTAAATACTAGCACATGAATGATGACAGTTTTCATTCTGCACAAAGGAAACTTCAGCAGCAGGAGAATTCAATGTGAATAAAAAGCTTTTCTGAAGAGCCTTTTCCATCAATCCTGATGATACTTGTGCTATTTTCACCCAGAGTGTTTGGGCTTCTAGACAGAGATCACACATACAGAGGGACAAGAGGAACATTCCTGCTGAATTTCCAGGGTGAACTCCCCATTAGAAAATGTAATGAACACTGTCTGGAAACAAATGCCATTTCCAGGGTGAGGGCAGAGTGTTCTCTCTGAGATTCTGTCTTGCCTCCTCCTCCTCCTCCTGACCCCAGCGAATTTTTCCCCAAAGCACATTATTTCTTCTTTAACATTTTCAGTATATTAGATTTTTCAAACTTCTGAGTTCTTATAAATTCATTGATTAAAAGGGATGAGTAGCTTAATGAATGAATGCATGCTAAAAGAAAAAAAAAAAAAACAAAAAACAAACAAATCAGAACTGCAGACACTGAAATAATTGAAATAATATCTTTTTTCTAATTTAGGGCAAATACAAAATATTTCTCAGCACAGATCTACACAAGTGCTCCCTAAAAACATCTAAAGCTTGCTGGGACCCAAACAGGTGCATGGGATTTACATGCAGAGGGGGATTCCTTTGTTTTCTGTGATGGCAGTTAATAGAAAGAGACATTTAAAAAAGCTAATTAATCAAAGTTATCATGAGGTCAAAGACAACATGTCAAAATTTATTAAATTCGCTAGTCATATTATTTTTAAGATTTTACACCTCATCTTGATACCTTTCAAGGAGAGGGAAGACACCCTCTTGTCATAATTTCATTACAACATAATGAATTTCATTTCATAATTCATCTAGTAACAGTTCATTATTAGATCCTTGTACAGTTTTCCTATACACAAAAACTAGACATGCTGCATTATTTGTCTGTATTAACAACTATCATATTTTGATGGGACTGCCTAAGAATTCTCTGTGTTTTAGTTGCCAGAGGGACAGAATTTCAGACACACACATACCCAAACCCCCCCAAAACACACAAAACTTTAATCTGTGTAATGTATCTGTGTAATGTATCTGTGTAATGAATCTTAAGATTCATTATTCTCTAAGAAATACCTGGATGAACATATGTTCTTTTCTAAACAAGAAATCAGTTATGCTTTCCTCTAATTAAACAGCATGAAATAACACATTTCCTTCTCAATCTTTCTGGCATTAATTTAAGAACTTGTTTACTTAAAAAAAAAGAAATATATAGTACTTTCAACTTGTCTGCTTTACTGACTCTCATAAAATTACATTTATTTTTAGTATGCAACAATAAAACATCTTTTTCTTAAACCCAAATACAGTTATTAATTTGCTATATTTTTTTGGTGCATTTACAGACAACCAAGTGTTTATTGGCAACACAATCTCATACCTTTCCAGCATTCCAGCATTTCCCTTTATTTATTCATACATTTCTCTGAAGTATTTTGAATGCATATACCTTCTACCATTAAGAGACAGAATACCAGTCTTGATAAACACAGTTTAGATTTAAAAATGCCAATTTTTTCACATCACAGATTAATCACACTAACTGATCACAGCTATGGGATGGCTGACATAACCCCATTTACAGTGTTACCAAAGCTACCAAGCATTTCAACAGAGAAAAGAGATTAGAAGGTGCACAATTCACAAATTTAGCCCTTCATTTAGCAGTCCTCATACTCCGAATTTCTCTTGGGTCTTGTTCTTTCAACAACTTCTCTATCTTTTCCAATATCTTCTAAAATGCAATTTTCTTCCACCATGAAACACTAAAGGGACAAGCTCATGATCTAAAAGTATTAATAATCTTTAAAAACCTGTTACTATGATGGTGCTGTATCTGCAGCATTTTCTTTTTCCCACTTTTTGTTTTGCCAGCATATCTCAGGATCAAAGTGAAGTTTTCACCAGAACTCCTCTCTTCCACAGCACCCCCAAAATCTACTGATCATGGAAAATATGCTCTCTTCTATTTTCCATCAGCATTTCAGTAAAAGACTTTGTGAATTTGCTACATCCTTTATTACTGTAAAGCCCTTTATTTTGTGGCAGTAAATTGCTGTTATCACCATCTGCAGTAACAGCTACATACATAAAAAATCTTTGTTGTTTCATTACTGAGAGTGGAGTCTTGGTCAGCCTAAGAAACTCTTTCCCTGGCCAGGGGCTCTCCAGCAAGGTCAGGGCACAAAGTTCAGTTTTGCCAGCTGAAGCCCTGCTACTGTCTTTTGCTCCACTCTAAATATCCCTGATTTTTATTATCTGTTTATCTAGTTCCCTGAATGATCCCCAGTGCTTCACATTCTACTTTCTTATTCCTCCCTCAAAACAAGAGGCCATCCAGACCCTCTGATGGAGAATGACACTGGGCTCTTCACCTGAACAGATGAAAGTCTTCCTTGGATTTTTTTTTTTTTTTAATTTGTAATCTCTCCCAGTGTGCCTGGTGAATTTATGACACAGAGGTTACCATTAGGGAGAAAGCTGGCAAACAGATCAGATCTTTCACAATCCACTCTGATATTGTTCTATATATACCTTCCTCCCTTCTCCTCATATGCTGTTAGCCCTGAAGTTTAGGTGTTCTTTTCTCAACAAGGCCAGAATTTTCCTTCCTCCACATCCTGCCATTCTTCCTTCTAAACACATTTTCGTCTTCCTCATATTATTTGTTCAATCTCACTTGGCCTTACAGACTTTTCTCTCCTCAACCTTCCCCCTCCTCTTTTCTTTTTATGGACACGATCACTTCCCATCCTGTATTATCACACAGTTTCAGACTCAGACTATTCCCAGACTGCTTTCCACAACAGTCTCCTGGAAAATGCTTCTCCCCATTAAATCCCATAAAAATGCTTTTTATCTCCATTATGTTGACCCACTCTCATCAGTATCTAAAAATCAGGACAAAATTATCTCTGTTTTTCATTTTCTGTTCCATAACACATAAAGTCATCATGCTTGTCTCCCTCAGTCTACAGCAGAAGTCTTGAAAGTATTATTTTTCAGTAGTATTTTATACCTTCTCAGAACATAACCAGAATGTCTTCATCAAGATCCTTCCAGTGAAAGGACTGAAATGCAAAAACTTGTTTTTAATCAAAACTGAGGGGTGGTACAGAATCCCACGTGCTTCAGTGACAACCATTATATTGTCAGGCAGAATTAAAGAGCATATAGAAGGTATTATTAATATCTCCATGCTTCACAGACATTGAATATTTATTTAATTCCTGATTTTATTTTTCACTTTCTGAATCCCCATTTCCTCTTTCTATTTATTCTATTCCTACCCTGTCATTTTGATTTGCAAATAGCTTCTGAATTGCAGGTTTTAAATGTACCCATCTGTAGGTCATTGTTGTGTCTCCCAGTTCCTTTTGTAATGTCTTCATAACAGCAAACTTCAGCTTCAGTGAGAATTTTTGAAACTTGCTTTCCTGATCAGTTTTTCTCAACGTTTCTCTGATTAAGCCTTCTCTGATCAGATTGTTTCTTTTTGCTTTTTCTGTAGATACCTTGAGCTGCTATGGGGCAATAATTTACATTAAAGCCTTTTTGTGTAATTGTAAAATGTTATTCTCTGAGGACCCGTAAGGGGAAATTTATCTCTTTATACGGAACCACCATTCTCTTTAAAATAAAAGTTTCAAAAACCTAAGGGCTTGAATAAAAAGCAGCGTTAACAAATCATCCTAATTCTCCAACTTTTTTTCCAGGAGGATGTCTGTTCCAGCAATTTCTACTGATTCTGTACAACTGCACTGTTTCAATTAATCCAAGCACTTATATCTAATTTAAAAATAATGAAATTTTTGATGAATTCTGTTTAAAAAACTACTTGGTTTTTTGAGTTTACTGCAGAAAATAAAACAGTTGTGAGTCAATGAAGTGGAAAATTGCTGTCTTCTAAAGGATCTCCAAGGTGCAAAATGTTCTCTTATTTGCTGTTATCAGTATGTCTAGTAATTGCTTTTTGTCCAACTGTTTATAAAGGGAGAAACAGACTTACAGTCTGGAGAAAAAGAGACAGCAAAACAGGCAAAATTAAAGAAAAATGTTTTTTAAATTATTTTCCTATTTTATAATATTAAGGAAACATACCAACAAAAGCCATTTCACCAAACAAAACAGAAAAAAAGTAGAAAGAGGGGAAAAAAGTTGCATGAAACAATTAAAAGAAGCAACAGGTCACACTTTAACATCACAGTCTTTAGTTACTTTAGCTCTTTGGAACAAAACAGCCTTCCTACAAATTACAAGGGTTTTAGCCATAAGCTTGAGAAATTTCTACATAGCTCGAATTACAGAACACCATTTAAAAATATTACCTGGCACTCAAACACACTTCAGATCAACATAAAAAGGAGTGTTATGAAATTGCTTTCTGCAACAAACCAACAACAGCACAGACCGAGATCACATCCCTCTTCCATGATTAGCACCCACATACACAACTGAATTCTCCTTTGGCATTTGGCTTTCTGAAGAGAATTTCAGGTCAGGGGATTTTGATTTGGTTTTTTGTTTGTTTTTCTCGTTTGGTTTTTGGAGTTTTTCTTCCTCTGTACGGTTTTGGATTCTTCTCTCTTTTATAAAGATTACCTAAGAAAAGTGAGGGGAAATCCTCCTATTTGTATATAGCCAGAACTTTATTTTCAAGAATAATTTAAGAAATAGATATTAAAAAAGGGAAAAATTTTGACAGTAATTTATTCTCCTGTCAGTAAACATATGTAGGGGAGTACCAAACAGGTACTTTCCAGAACTAAACTAAAACCTCACCTTGTTGGATAATTATGGCATTTACTTCCTCCTCTTCAATTTCTCTATTTTTCTTCACACAACCTTTCAATGTTTTACAGTATAGCTTTGCAACTGTAAGATCAGTTTGCACCACATTTGCACCCAGATGTTTTAAAAATCCACTGTAACACAGAATTAGGTCTTTGAAAACCCTTCCTGGGGTTTACCAAACCTCTTTGATGTTTTCACCTTGTCCAAATAAATGAAATCTTTATTAAGGAGAAGGGTGATTAAGGCTATTTTCATAAAATGATAACGAGTTCCTGACAGATTTACTTTCCTTCTAGGCAACTTTCCAACAAAAGTCAACAGCTAACAAGAATTCTATATCTGAATTCATGTTGGAGGATATAACTCACTAATTAAGTGTTCCTTAAACATTTCAAGGAACATTCAGACTTCCTGACTGATCCACTCCAAGCACTGCTTGATAAAGAGACACTACAGTTGAGTGTAGCTGAATAAATTGAGGTCTCTTTTCTTCCTCAGGCATCCTCAACCCAAGGTCTAGCATCCTGTTCCAAAGTAAAGCCCACCTTGAAAAAGAACCAAGTCATTTTCACAGTAACATCCAACATTTTAAGGTACATTTCTAAATGCCTTATCAATCCTTCAATTTATTCACACGTGAATAGAAATGTTCAAGTACCTGCATACTCTGTTACTCTGATAAAATACACTTTTCTATAAAAGAAAACTTAAACCAGCATGATGCTACTCTTCGATGAATTAAACGGAACAATGGATTTCAGCAGTGCTGTTGTCATGTTCCTCATAACTTGTCCACAATGCCCTGGATTTAAGCGTCTAGAAATCTTCAGGTTCATTCCCCACGCACAGAGATGTCTCTAAGAGATGCTCAAACACTTCAGAGAATCAGCATAAAGGAACTTTCTGCTCCCTAACATAGCTGTACCAAAAGGTTTTATTTATTCAAACTGTGTTGCTACAACTGCAGGCACACAATTCCTGACAATTTGTGAATACTCACCTACCTACAAAAGTCACAAATCTTTAATCAAGATTATCAAACCAGACAAGGGCTGCAGCAGCAGTGCCATGCCTAAGCAGAGATCTAATCTAAATACTGGGTAATAAACAGGCTCTTCTCTCAGGAACTCTCCCAGGAGTCACTTAAGTGAGCACTGATACCTCTTGGAGCCCCAAATCTGTGGAATTGGATTTCTGGGTCTCTCCTGCCCTGGACAACTATATCAGTGCAATATATCCAGATGTTTTAAACACTTACACTCAATTCACTCAAGCAATGGAATTTGTCTACCCAAACTCAGGTATTATATAAAAGAGTTCAGTATGATCAAGTCCATTATAATAAAACCACAAGATGATTAAAATAACTTCCTACAGGTGCCAGATATCTGCCATCATGTTTGGCTAAAATCAGGAATATCTTACTCCTTACTGAGCTTCTAATCCTGCCTCCTCAGAATATGTCAAAACTGATAATCATGGCAGACATTTACACTTGATATCTTTATTTTCCCAGGAGCATCAACATCTACAAATTGCAGTTCTAGCTGTTGTCTCCCTCTCCTGAACTGCCCTTTGTATCTGTTCATCCCCCACAGTCCTCCTCACCTCCCTCAACACGTTGACACAGGGGAGTTTTAAAAGGAAATCAGAATGAAGTACATTGCACAGAAGGGAGATTTATTTTAGCATTTTAGCATAGGCACATAAGAAACACTGAGAGAACTACTTGAATGCAAGAATGAAAGTCAGATCGGCTTTTATCCAAGTTGAGATATTTCAAGTCAAATAATTTCAAGTCGATTTTTTTTAAATGCTGAGTTGAGGTAGCACAGTGCCTTTGTAGTCAATAATTGTAGAAACTCTATTTTGCAGGACATTTTACACTGATCTACCAAAGATTACAGCAAAAAATGGTCTACTTAGGAATATGTGGCATAACGCAACCCAACACCTTAAAAACTATCCATACAGGTAGTTCTTTGAAGGAAATCATATCTCATCAGCACAAAGGGAGTATTGATCTGGTAAATGGCAAAATACAGCATCTTCCTAACCTTTCACCTTCACTCCTGTCACTAGAGTATATATCCAGAATGTATTTTCTAAAGTGTTTCTTTCCTTCTCTTTGTTCCATACGATCAACACAACGCTTACTGTAATAGCAACAGAACAAGCCATGCATCAAGTTCTGACAGAAAACAACCTGGTTGTTTCAGACTAGACCATCAGAAAAATCTATGAAAATTCAGACCATCAGAAAAATCCATGGGGAAACAAAAAAAAAAAATGTAAAATGCTTTTTTCATCAAAGGAAATACAGGCTGTATATCATAAAATGAACAATGCATGAAAATAACACTCAATTTCCAACTCCATGCAACTCGAAAAACCCATAGTAGCAGAGAGAAAAATACTTTATAAAAGACCAAACTACACCCAAAGCAATCTGAAAACTCTCACAATTGTTCTGTAAGTTTTCCCTTTAAAAAACAGAGCACATAGAGGACACTTATTTCACCCAGGTAAACTTGCACTGCATGACAGTTTGTAACTTCAGATAAAATGCCCACGTTTATAAAGCTGCTCCTGTCTGACTTCAGCCCTGCCTTATGTAACAACCTTCATGTGATTCAGCACTCTCCAGTTTCCCAGATCTCTCAACAGAGCTCCCAAATACCACCCTTCCTTCACACCCTTCTCTCTTTTCCTTCCTTTACTATCACAAATTCCAACAACTTAGCTGATGACATCCAGCCCTGTAAAAACTAAAAACACCTCTTAAAAATTCCACAACAGTAAAATAAGGAAGTATGACTGAGTTTTTTGCCATCCGTATCTCTTTTGAAAAAAAAAAATCAAAAAGTAGAACAAAAAGTGTGACCAAAAATAGACTATAAACTTGCTATTCCTGACTAAATGGTTTCTTACACATACAGGGCATTAAGGATGACAAGAAACAATAAATCCTCTCAGTTGGAGGAAGGAGGGAAAGGTCTTTCTCCAGACCCAATCCAGGCAGCTTCTCACTGCCAACTCCAGAATAGCTTCATCATCCATTAATAAGATTAAATATGATCCACCTGTGATTTTTACCATTTTCAGGAAGAAATTGTTAGCTGAAAAAATGGTTTTGGATTTTTTCAGGCTCTTTCTCATGAATATCAAAATTAACAAAATTCCCCAAGATTACAGGAAAAGAACCACTTTGGGCCACACATTTTTAAGGAAGCTCACAATGAGATCCTTCCCAGGGAAGGCCAACCTGGAGAAAAATCACTGGTTTTTGGTTTCTTCTTCTTCTTCTTGTTGGCTTGGATTTTTAATTTCTAGAACTCAAAATGCTCTTTTGTCAACTGCAAACAATGCTCTCATGTTTGCAACTGGAACTGTTGAAAATAATCTCTGCATGGTAAAATTCTGGAGATATATACAAGAAACAGGTGTGTTAAAATATCACACACTGCATGCAGACAAATTTTGTTGCCATCAGCGCTCTTAAGATGAAACAACAAAACAGTCAGTTTCCATTTATTTTAACTGCAGATAATATTCTGTGCCACACTTAAACCTATACCTACAGAAATACATATAATCATTTACATTCCACCCTGAAAATGCAGGGGAAATAAGTGGTAGGTGATTACTAAGTTATTTTAATAATGAGCCATTGGAATAAAAACCAGTAAAAATAATTTCAGTCATAAACTATTTTGACATACTTAACGTGAAAGAGTACAAACAACAGAAACTATTACAATTGATTTTTAATTAATTGATTGATTTCACCATTTATTTACAGCAATCTTTAAAGAAGCTCTCCAAGAGCACGTAAGAAGAATAGATTAATGTTTTTATTGTTGCAATTTTAAAACTGCAGGAGTTCCTTCTGGAAAAACTCCTTCAATTCCAAAGCGACTCAGTGAAACTTGGCACTTGCACAACTCCTGCTGGAGCAGGGGCTTTACAAGACAACACCAAAAATTTCCCCAGATCCTCCGACTGGAGCTCTCCTTTATCTGCTATAAAACACTTATTTTAGTTCACTCTTTCACCATTAATGCACCCTGCCTTTCTCCCCATCCTGTGCCCAAATGGGAGAAGATGCCAAAGCATTTTTCAGAGCATTGTTACAGTCCCTATAAATGCACAGAATGCACAAAATGTTGTTTCTCTAAAGCCATCCCTATGTGGTACCAAGAGCTCTTCATGAGCCCTCCCTATATGAAAGATGCATTTATCCAGACTTTTAATAAAACAGCTGCTTAAGACCACACAAGTATCTCATGTGTTATGTGCTTTCCTGCACCTCTCTCTCAACCAGCAGCTTCAAATTCTTTCACGTGACAATATACCAATGCTGACAACTTCTGACAATGGCATTGTAAGAATTTTTTCAATTTTATTAATCTGAAATCATGATACCTCTACTGACAGACACAATACCTCTACTTACAGACAAGACAGCTACACTAACAGGATCTGCTCCTATCTGACGTAAGAGTGTTATTTAAAATACTGAAAAGGACTTTAAACAATTTTGTGTCTGTGGAAACAAAAAGCAACCTGAGAATATTTTTCCTATTCCCAGACCAACGCTTGTGCAGCAGCTTTCAAGTGGTTGTGCTGCTCTCCATAGACACATCCAAATATCTATGCAACATTAAAAAACACCCTGAAATAATGGATTATGATGTTAACAAAAATTATTTAAAACCTGTCAGCTTAATTGAGCTGCCTTTTCAGTACATGACTTGAAGACTTACTTTCACTGGAATTTATAATGAATTGCACATATATGTGAACATTTACATTAAGACTCCATTTTAATATGCCAGAAAGTAATTGCAGGTAGATACTCCGAACTTATGTTGAACAGAATCTACTTTAAAAATTTGAACATTTACAGCAACACATTTTGAAATTAAAAAAAAAGCGTATACAGACCTTCCAGTAGTCAGATTGTAAACTGTAGTACCTCTGGTATGCAGATAATGCTGTAGGGAAGAAAAATGAATGTTCAATTTGTTTTGTTTCATTTTCTTTGAAGAAAAAGATAAAAATCCTTAAGAGTCAGAATACACAACATTAAAATGATAAATGGTTTAATAAAAGTAACACTGCCATGGTAAGTACACTGTTGTGGGCAATGCATTCCTTAAGATTACAATTTTGTTTTATGAAATGTCAACCCAAAAGTATATTTATTATTAATCTTACAAATGTAAATCAAGCAATATTTTAAAGAAAACCTATAACAAAGAAATAATTTGAAATTTTGTGATTTTCATCCCGGACAAAGCTGTTGTAAGATTTAAAAATTTAATCATGTAGCTCATTTACCACGCTCCCTGATGCCCTGTAATTTCTGAAGAACTGGTGAGGAGGGACATACAAAGAGAAATCAATTTCACATGGCCTTTTATTCTGAGAAACAAAAGCAAGCAGAAAAAAAATAAAAGCTTACATTTTATTCTACAGCATGACCGAGACTAACCTGGAAATCAGTGCTAAGAACAGCTCTGTTTAGCTCTACTTAGCAACCAATTTCTCCAACACTACTCCTGCATCCTTCTTCCTTACTAAAAATTCTGGGAGATTCATCTTGCCCTTGGGCTAACGGGCCACCTCGGACTAGAACACAAATAGGTTTTGCAGTAGGAACCATCAAAAATGAAGCATTTTAAATAAAGATTCACTGCAGTAACACCAAGATACTGATTTTTCAAGTGTTTGCTGCCTAAGATTTAAGGATGGAAAACACACAATGTGTGGGAACCAAACAACAAAAGAAGCTCCAGCTTTGGAAAACCATAAGCACTAAACAGGTTAAGATGCAAGAACCACATGTACTATAGGTGAAGCTTCACATCCTGCAAGCACCATGGATAAATCACGTCCATAAATGTTACCACCCTTCAATGCCTGCCTTGCATATTCATTTTTGTAACTTGACCAAAGTCCTTGTGCTGAAGTGAAATAAGAACAGACACATCATGGTAAAGAGACAGAACTTCTGCACTGCTCTGTCTATGGAGACTCAAACCTTTATCTGTAAACAGACACATGCAGATCCATGCCCATGAGGTGCTCCTCTCCACCAAAATTCTTGTGAGGCCAATTTCTAATTTTGATGTTCTAAACTGTGGTTTATTCAGATGCCCAAATAAGAAAAATGAACTTAGAAGATGACTCATTGACCACACATTAACATACAATATATCTAAAATGCTTACACAGTGCAACTCAAACAAAATAACTTAAAAATCTAATCTAGTCTTTCACAATTTAAGAACACAATTCCTCCTCCAACCACTCCCCCCAAAAAAAACCAAAACTGGTACTAACTGAAGAGTATTACTTCAGTCTAACAATGTAAGTTGAAGAATGTTAAAACTAAGTATATTTTAGTCACATTCTATAATAATGTTTTAAAGGATTTTCACAGTAAGGGAAAATAACATCCTACTGCCCCCCAAAAGTCCTTCTAGGTTCAACTTCTTCCAAATATCACAAGTAAGTTTTCAACAAAAAGGAAAAATTATCTTCTGAACATGGTAATGACTTTGCTTTCCCCAACAGGAACATGCACGTGCACTATGAAACAGTTTTGTAATGCATCACATCACAAATAAAAGGAGTTCTTTTCCTTTTACTCAAGCAGTACCTATCCAAATTTTAAGGGTTAAAGTGTATTTCAAATACTCCATATTATGCAAGATGCAAAAAACTGACAACTTCTTGTAAAATTTTTTTTAAAACAACTACTGCAGTCAACTACATAGGGAATATGGATAAAAAGATGAAAAGAACATTAAATACAATGCTAAGGATTTATACTAGGAAAATAAAAGGGAGAACATTTTCACTGTAGATGTTAAAAAATACAGGAAGTACCCACATGAGCATATCCATTAAAAAGAAGAGCTGGAATATGCTTACCTATAGCAATTAAGACACTGCTACTAAGTTTATATAATGTCAACAGTATTTTAAAAAATACATAAATAAACAGAATGCCCTAAAGGGAAAGAATAGGAAAAAAGAAAGCAAGATTAAATTTGCCCTGAAAAATCCTAACACCTCAATTTAACATAGGGAAGTTATCACAGAAAGGATTCATTTGCTCCATGACATTCTACCAGTTTTCTTTAAGAAAAAAGGATGTTTGGCTGCGATTTTCTTTTCTAACTCTTCCATTCTTCAATAAAGTTCAGTAACTTCCCACAGGAACAGCTGAAGTGATCACTGAATGTGCCAAGCTCAGTTACAATTAAAAACAAGCACATGGGAAGCGTGGACTGCTGAAGTCTATTTATATTTACACGATAACAAGATAAGGCCTCCATTCTGAGGAGCCACATTTCTCTTACAGAGGAACAAAGAGGACACTTCAATCCTCCTCAGTGTCTGAAGTGCCCAATCCTCCTGGTGGGTTCAGAAATACCCAGGGATCCAGCCTGTTCTAGGCTAACAGTATTCCCTTTCTACTTCTTGCAGATGAAATGCTGAAATTCTCAGAGTTCTGCTAGAAGTGCGTAAGGATGAATCATGGAGGGCTCCCTTAAGCCAGAACTAAATGTCCCTTTACTCTTCAGGAAAGTCAGACAACTAAAAAGTGTTACCATGCACACTTTTCAGTATTATCAAGTGCTCAACTTACAGCAAGTTACTTATGAAGTCTGATTTCAGCCCCTTTTACAACTACATTAAATATCTGCTCCATAAGCACTCAAGCACTGCTGCAAAGGATTAAAGGAATAGAAAAATGGAAAAAAAAAAAAAAAAAGGATTCAAGAAAATGTTCTTTCCTAATCAGGCATATCCCTAAGAAGATTCTTGCATATAAGATTCCAGAAATCAAATTATGAAAGCAAGATTTTTTGAAAAACTGAACAAACCTAGATATAAAGAAAAACATGAACCATACATTTTGAACCCTATAATATTTCATAGTCCCTGAGTAACCAACAAGCAGATATTTATCCGAAATTTTATGGTGTAGAAATTAGCACCTTATCTAAAACCTGTACTGTGAACTACAAGAAACTTCTCCCTTAAATTAACTTTGTATCTACAGGAAATAAGTGCAAATCCCTCAAAATACAAACTTTACTCTAAAATAAAAAAGACCAACTGAATCTGCAGAGCCACAAGAATTTTACACAAATCCGTATCTTTAACACAGGGTGTGCTTTATCAGTGTTATGATTCTGATTGTAGGATGATATTCCCTGGTTTATTAAAAAGCAAAAAATCCCAGTTACTTGGGTCATGCAGCACATTAGTAGTATTTTAAAAAAAAACAAACCAAAAAACACCAAAAAACAAACCAAAATGAACAACAAAAAAAATCCTAACACTAACGGCTGAAATATCATTTTGCACCATTACTTTTCGTTCAAGACTGGTCATTCCAAAGTGAGACAATTTTTGTCACAAAAAGATTCTGTCAACTACTGACTCTCTTTCAACATAGGGTCAACTCTCATTTTTACAGATACAAGTGAATTATCCCATTTCAGTTACGATATCTGTCTTAAACATTATGAAATGAGTGCTTTGAAATCACTCTTAGGCACGGCAGGATTCTGCAGACAATCTTTTGATTAGGAACTTACTATTGAGCTTTTTCAATTTAAAACTTTGCCACTGAAATTCTTACACATAGGGAATTGTATAAAGACAATAAAGGATGTAAAAACTTTTTTTTCCCCTGCATGTCAAACACGGATGAGCATCCAAAAAATGCATGTCTGGACTCAAAGAACAGGACAGAGTATCAACAGCAGGACAATGCCTCTTGCCTCACTCTCAACTACTTTTTGTAGTCAACCACAGAAAACTCTTAAAAGCACAAAACTGACAGACCACATTCAAACACCGAAAACAATACTCAACAATTGCTAAAAGAAGTGTTCAGTTACCTATTTCCCTCCTTCTATCCTTTATTTAATTTCTTACTCCATCAGTTTATGCTCTTGCTATGAACACCTCTCCAAAAATTGGCCATGATTATAATTTTCCTAACAGGTAATCCTTGTGATCACATTCCTGAAAACCCTGAGAGTGGCAGATACAGCATTTACCATCTTCCCCAGAGGAGGAGCCATGTATACCCCAAAGCTATACATAGCTTCTCAAGTCAATCACCATTAGCTACATTGCTTGATGAAAATAAAATGTTTACCTGAAATAGCTCTGAAAAGCAAAACACCACCTTTCTAAAAGAATTGCAACCACTGAACAGTACGAATCCTCCTGAGCTCAGGCTCTCTTCAGAATCTGTAAACCTCAGGCACCTTGTGCAGAGCTGACTCTCAGTGAGTTCACACACTGGGAGTCTACTGGTTTCCTCTTACAGGTTTTTTAGTCACCCAGAACTACCCACTCTGTAATATGTATGGTTACTTCAACCCAGACAGGCTTCATTATGTGCGACATAAGAGTTTGCCTTCCTCTCCCACTATGACAGAACCAAGGGCCATGCCAGAAGCAGCACACGGATAACACTTGTTCCTTATTCCCCCCCTGTTTAAGATCCCTTGGTATGATATAGATAATACAAACCAAATTTGATTTAATTATTACATATGTAGTTTCAGGATTTTTTTTTTCCATCTACTTAATTTCATAGGATGTTGACACAACTTAGTTTCAGTAGTAAGATAAGACAATCTCTCTTTGTATCCAGAATCTACATACTTGACCTAAACAAACAAGGAAGGTGACAGTGGGAAGGAAGAATGTCTAGACTGAGTGACAACCACCCACTCGTCACCTTTAGCACATTTCATCACAAATCGTGCAGTCACAGAGGACAGCTTTTATGATCTGCTCTAATAAACCTACTTTATGACACCTTAAAACTTAAGAGGCCTTCAAAGTGACACAAACATGGAGCAGTTTGAATATTTTAGTGCTTGAGTAAGAAGAAAGTGAACTACATACTAACACCATCTAGTGGCACTTTGCAAGGCTAAATGCGACTAACACA